CCACTCTTGGGAATATACACAAAAGCATTCCAATACAAACAATGAGGAACAGGACAAGATTTTCTAGTCTCTTGTATGTGTGGTTTAAGATATATATATATATATATATATATATATATATATCTTAAACATAGATACATACACATTCACACATATATATGTATACATATATATACATATATACATTCACATATATTTCCATACATACATATATAGAGACACACATATACTTATTATATATGAATACATATACACATAAACATACACACATATGTGTATACATATACTTATATTTATTTGGAGTCCAGAGAATCCTCAGAATTGGAGAACATCAAAATCAAAAATAATTCAGGCTCAGGAATAATATCCAGATTTTACAAAATAAGCAAAAGCAAAAACCAATGAAATAAAATTGCCAATTAGTTAGTGAACTGAACAGATTTTCTAACAAAAAGTGTAAATATCCATTAACTTTTTGAAACTATTGAACACAATCCTCATCATGAAACTTAAAATTAATATTGCTTTATGATACTATTTTAAACCTGTCAAAGCGCTATTATCAAAATAGTTGATGCAAAACGTTGGGGAGGATGGAGAAAATACAAATTATTATTTACTGCTGCTGAGGGTGCAAATTAATGCATTCCTTATGGAAATCACTGTCTGTGGTACTCACAAAGTAAAAACAGAACTACTGTATGAGCCATGTATTCCATTCCTTAGCATATGCAAAATGACCTTCATATCTTGCCACAGGAATATTTACAAATCTCTGTTTAAGGCTCTCTATTCACTATACCAAGGACATAGAACCCATCTAAATATCCATAAACAAATGAGCTAAGAATTAAAATTGGCTCCTATACAAAATGGAATGATATTTAAATTTGATGAAAATAAAAACACAAAGTTTTCAGGGAAACAATGTATTTAAAGAATGTATGTTTTGAAATGTTACCCAAACATAATAAAAATAAAAAACCTGAATGTTCCTGCTCATATGTAGATTCTAACTATACAGAACACATGTTTGCACATGAGAAAAGCTATGAATATAGGTATACTATAAGAGTCAGAAAGAAAATAAAGACAAAATCAGGTAATCAGTAAGGACTAAATTTAGGTAACAGGACAATTGTGGCATATAACAAGATAGGAACATCTTGTGGTTTGGGGAAGCCTGGAGGCAAGAGGGAGCCAGGGTATGGAACAAGTCATAATGTAGGAAACAGAGAAATGATTTTTATAGTAAACAGAAATGAAACTATCTTGTAACAAGATGATTACTGATCATAAGAGGCATAAGGTTGGTTTATCGCCCAGGGAAAACGTTAATACACTTATTCTGCTAAAAAGGTAAAGTAACATAATGGAAATAGTAATAAACTGGTCTCTCCACTCTTACTTTGTACCAGAGATAAGTACCTCTCTCAGTCCTCATTAGAGAAACTTTTTTGTCATTCTATTGTGATTAACACAAAGGTCAATATTTATTCAATGTGCTGAGATTCAGAGAGACTCTAAAATGTCCAGAAACAATACGAGAGTATCTATATCAAAACCCTTCCTTCAGATCCTTGGGTTCATCATGGAAGAAGAGGCATAAAGAAGATTAGGTACTTTCTGGCGGTAGATGATTCCTAGTAAACACGTTTTCTCCAGGCAAACCATAGGTCTTGCACAGGTGAAGTCTTTTGTTATGAGACTATGCACAAGATCAACCTAGAAAAATCCCAGCTGAGTGAAGAAGGTGAAGAAGTCCCACTATTAGATGAAAGCCAATGGCCACAAACAGCTTCTAAGGGAGGAAGTAGCAGACTTCTTTCAGATTTCAAACTTTTAGAGCCTACTCATGCCTCTGCCCTAGAAACATATGAGTGTCACTATTTAGTTTTTGCTTGTTTTAAAGAATACATGAATTTGGAGAGAATTGGTATGGATAGTTGAGAAAAGAACAGAATTAGAAGGGAATAAACATTTATAGACTTGAGTAAAACACATATGTCTGTATGAACCACTCAAACACTTTAAGTAAAAAAGAATGGAATCTAAAAATAAACTATATTGATTAGTGTTGGAAGAAAGCAGTGAAGACAGGAATCCAAAGAGTTACAGACACTTCTTGAACTTTCTCATGAGTTTACACTCAAATATTTTTGCACCTTCCTTAAGAGACCTGAGAAGCATTCAGGGATCATGAAAATGCTATTAACAACATCATATCCCTTTGGATAAATTTACAAGAAACTTTCTCTAAAGCATTTATGTTGATTAACAACTGGAAAATTAAAAAGATGATTCCATCTCCCAAAGCCTGTGATGTCACTGACAATGAAAATGAAATGAAAAATTCAACTCTGGAGGGAGATCTAGTCACAGAGTCACAGACCTCAGGTTTAAGCAACTTTCTTATATTGCTGCTTATTAGTGACTCTGGGTGTGCTCGATGAACCTACTTTCCTGCAGTGGCAAGAAGCTAAGTGAGTACTTTGAATTTCACCATGAGTGGCAGAGTCGGCAAAGAAGACAGGCTCAGGTAAGCACTCAGGTGTGGTAAGAGGAAACTGCTGTAGAATCAGAGCCACAGAACAGACAGTGAAGGCACAACAGTAATTCAATAATTAAGAAATAATTGAAAAAGTTCCAAGTTTCTTTCACCATGGCCAACTGCTCGTCATTTTTTACTGTAATATAAGTCACCAAATAAGGTTGACAGTAGATAACACAAGAAAAATGCAGTCCATCTGTGAAGGTGGTAAATGATTGTGTTAAAAGGTCAATGTGATAATTTAATTTACTGTGCATGTTGTATAGACTAATTGTAAGTATTATGTTATCATTTAATTTATCTCGGCTTATTCCCATAGGAAATATGACAATGGAAATGTAAGTAGCAAGCAGTCTTGGGAAGTGCAGGATGTGAATATGTTTCCAGTGTGGAAAGAATCCATATGTGACACTGCACCTATACTCTGTTTACAGGCAGTAACTGCATTTATATTGAATGGTCATTGGTATATTGTATGGTTTGAAACATCTCCCTCTTGAATGTGGGAAGGTAACATAGAAAGGAAGATGAAGTTTGAGTATTGAGCAATGAAAGTCAGGATCAAATGTATTTTGGTTTATTTTCCTATTTTAATCATACCCTACCCACAACCTAATAGCACATCTTACTGTTTATTGTTGTTTTTCATGGAACACAGGCTACCTATCATGATATCTGAGGGTTCTATCCTGCAGACAGTTTTGTATTAATACCTAGTGCTACATCTCAATGGGCAATGTTTATGGCATCAGTTACATTCTCCAGATTGTACAATATGAATTTGTACACATGTCCTCTATTTGAGTGCATCATTAGGTCATTATGATAGTCATCAATATAGAAATTATCAAGTAAGCAAGGTGTGTATTGAAAATCTTTAATCCCAGCATTTGGGAGGGAGAGACAAGACAGATTTCTGTAATTTCTGAGACCACCATTGTCTTCAGTGTGATTTTAAGGGCAGCTAGAGGTATACAGTGAGAGTCCATCATGAAAAAATACATATAAAAAGCAAATACATGCTGAATTGTAAAGGAAATACATTAGTAACTTCAGTTTCACCACCTCCTATTACTTGTAAATATATGTTAGTGTTTCATGTTGCATTTTGTACGGGGTAATATTATTAGTAATTCATCTGTACTTCCTTTTACAGCATTTACCTCTATAATAACAAAAATCCATATTTCTACTAGCATATGAAATATCAAGTCTACCTTGTGCTTTTGAAATCCAATTGAGAAATGGAAGTTTTCCTCATGTTAGACACACTGAGAACACTGAATTTTATTAAAAGCTCAAAAGCAATAACATTTGCCATTATCCTATGAAATAAACTGTTACATTCAATTAAAATTTATTTTCATAATGTTTTATGTATCTATTTTTGTTTTCTGTGAATGCACTCTTTCCCTGCATTTATATGTGCGTTATGAGAATGCTGTTCTTGCAGAGGACAGTAGACCATGGTAGAACTGATGAATTTAGAGTTACAAGTAGTTGGGATCCACCACGGGAGTTTTACGATCTAAATCCAGCTCCTCTACAATAGCAGCAAGTGTCACTTAACATCTGTCTATTGCCCCTAAACTAAAACTTTTTTTTTTTGCAGCAAAAGGTATACAATAAAATACAAAGTGAACAAAATGTCAAGTGATGAATACAAAGTTTATGGAGGGCAGGGCTATGTTGGAAGCATATCTCATGGTTCTGTGAGGATAGACTGAGGTGACAATATTTTGCCACAGTAGCCATGTTCAAGACTGTCAAGTATCCTATATGTCTCTAAGCACATTTGTATAGAAAATCATACTTCCCTTTATGTTCCTAAGTTTATGTCTTGCCTGTGGAAATAATGCAAATGTCAAGATACTACAGTTATAAACATCAAAGAAAATATCAACCTGAAAGGATATCGACTTATACATTGTCACTGCTATTTGCTAATTGTACACTTAACTAAAAAAACATATTTCCCATTTTACACTTACATATTTTCTAATGTTTTAAGAAAGTAAATATATAAAAGTAACAATATTAAATTTTAGTGGATGTGATCAGTGTGAACACTGTACCCTTGTGTTGAGAATTCTATGGCTGAGGAGACAAATGTCCAGATTAGACCCAATGATCTCACAGAAGGTGTCTTCTGTGAGACATGAAGACACATGAAGACATGAAGGTGTCTTCCAAATCACAGGTGTGCCCTGAAACTTTCAGTCATCTTACAATAATGTATTGTATGTAAGTATGTATTGTGAGTCAAAATTTCTACTGACAGAAACTTCAAGAAAGTATTGTTACAGTATATAGATTACATAGACTAAAGTCTATGCTGATATTCTATTCCTGCTAATTAATGAACACTTTGAATTAACCTTCCAGTAAATGCTTCAGATTATAATATTCACCAGAAAAAAATGAGTCTGGCCATAATCTAATGTGAATCATGCCCAGTCACAGAATAGAATTCTTGAGAATGTCAATTAAAATACTTTTCTTATTACAAATTACAACTGGAATTCTTGGAAATGTCTCTCTTTTTTTCTTCTATCTTGTCTACTATACAGAACATATATTAAAGCCCACAGGTTTGATTCTCATGCATCTAATGGCATCCAATGCCTTGATAGTTCTCTCTACAGGAGTTCCCTACACAATGGCAGCTTTTGGGATGAAGCAGTTTTTAAATGATTTTGGATGCACATTCATATTGTACATTCAAAGAGTAGGCCGGAGTGTGTCCATTAGCACCACTTGTTTCTTGAGTGTCTTTCAGGCCATCATCATCAGTCACATGGAATCCCGTTGTAAAGATCAAAAGGTAAAAGCTGAAAAGTACATTGGCAGCATTATTTCCCTTCTTTGGGTCTTGTCCATGATTATACATTTTATTTTCTTGGTGTACGTACTTGCCAAAGGGAATAGCAAAAACACAACAAGACACCGAGATTATGAGTACTGTTCCACTAGAGGACATCATGACATCAATGACTCACTCTATGCAGCATTGGTAGTGTGCCCTGAAATCTTCTTTTCTGTGCTCATTGCCTGGTCTAGTGGTTCCATGATTGTGATTCTGTACAGACACAACCAGAGGATTCAACATATCCACAGCAGTCATGTTTCCAGGAGAAACTCTCCAGAATCCAGAGCCACCAAGAACATTTTGGTCCTGTTGTCTACCTTTCTGGCATTTTATACTGTCTCTTCTGTCCTACGAGGCTGTATAGCTCTTTTGTATGACCACAGTTGGTGGATGCTGACCATCACTCGCCTCACGTCTCTGTGTTTTCCATCCTTCGCACCATTTGTTCTTATGAGTCATCACTCTCTTATATCCAGACTTAGTTTGTTATGTTATAAAATCTCCTAATCTTATGTAAGTATTTGATTCATATATTTTATTTGGTTTCATGGTGTTAATAATACTCTTCATCAAAAGGTCAATTCAGGAATTAAATTTCATTACCTTGACTTTGTGAAGTTAGTGAAAATGTGTATGAGAATTTGTTTGCTAGTTGATTCAACATTCTACATGAACTGATTATATTATGAGGCTCATTGCACTCTTGCGATTCTTCCCTTTGCTCATATGATGTGCAAATGAGCCAGAGGGAAAAAGCTATTAGTAAAACTGACCTCCATGTCAGGTCTTTCTGTCAGGTCTGCTTGGCCACTAAGGATTTCACAGAAACCCTGTGGGTCTGACATTCTGACAGGAAGGAAAATTGAAATGATGGCTGGCCATGAACTTGTTCTTCGTGAGGCCTTACACCTATCATAGTTGCTGTAGCCTGCACCAGGCCTATAAAAACAGAATTATAACTTTTTCCCTTACAGAAATCAATTTCAAATTGAGTGATGGTTTTTACGTGATTTTGAACTTTGTTTGCTAATATATTATTGAGAGATTTTTCATCATCAGGGATATTTGATAATAAATTACCTGCGGTGTTGTTCTGTCATTGTCTGGTTTAACATCACAGGAATGCTAGTTTCCTCAAAAGAGGTTAGAATAATTAATATAGCCACCATGAAAATAAGTTTTGTGGTCTCCCAGAATGTTAAAACTGTAACTACTATTTGACCCAGCTGTTCTTCTGGGTCTATACTCAGAAAATCCCATAACATACCATAGAAATATGTTCCTATCAGTGGTCTGTTTACTGAAGCAATAAGACAGAGCCCTCCCACATATCAATAAATAGACAAATCAAATATTAAATATTTCCTATATAAAGAGGACTATTATTCTACCAGTGTGAAGGAATCACAATACGAAGGAAAAAATGATTTATTGATTGACTGATTGATTGATTGATTGACTGATAGAATGGTTAATTGAATGATTGACTGGTAACGGATAAAATCAAGCCATGTCACCCAATCTCAGAATGAAAAAGATCACATGTTCTCCTTCATGCTGCTCCTAACCTATAATATACTATAATACATATGTAAAAGAATATAAGTGTAAATTCACTTATAACATTTGTAAAGTAGACCTAGAAATGTAATATTAGCTGATAGGCTGGGAGAGTGTCCAGAATTTATAGAAGAGGATCTACAACAGTTATATTTCTCTATTCAATGTTGTCAATTTAATTTTGTTTCTTGTGGAGAGGGATATAAAAATGTAATTGCTACCAAGAGTGTGGAACATTAAAGCTTTATGGCTATTGTAACTTTCTAGAGTTCACTGAAATGTACAAAAGTTTGTCTTAAGCAACTATTCATTTACTGGTTAATTTATTGTGGTTTTTAATGGTATTATTTATGTGTTCATTATAATTAAGTGAGTAAATTTTGAAATAAAATACCAGCACATTTTTTAAAAGATACAGAGACTGTACCATATATAGCCATCAATAAATGTAATGTATCACAGAAATGGACTCAATGGCAGAAATCATATGGTTATCATGTTAGATGCCAGGAAATCTTTTTCTCCTAATATTTTATTGACAACATTTTATTCTCATAAATATATCATGACTATAACTTTCTGTGACCCAGTTTCTCCCCACTCTGAGGATCTACTCTCTTTCTGTCATTACAAAACAACATGACATCAAAACATAACAAACACATTACAGAAAGGAAAAACAAAAACCATCACACTGAAGTCAGACCATTACTGATCACCATCAGCTGTGTTTAATGTTCAACAGTGTCAACAACATTTTAAAAATAATACCATACTTGGGAGCAAACAGTAGCACACAACTTTTCTAAAGATTTATTCTATTAAAGCCACATCCATAAAGTAACCACATTTGGGGAAGGACATAGAAAATGAGGATGGAAGAAAATGTGAACAAAACCTTGAAGGAAATGGAAGATGACACCACCTCACTTGCTATGAGTTAGTGAATAGTGCCCCCTTCCCAAAATGACAAAGGATCTAGTGTCCAAGTGTTTGTATTGGGATGATAGGTCAATAGAAAATTTCTCAACTTGAGCAGCACCACATGTGCAGCAATATACAGAGAACATATTTTAATAGTTAAAATGTTAAAGAAAATCTCACAATGATCACAAATATTAATAATATAAATAATCAGTAGATATTTTATCTAAAATTAAAACATAACTGGTAGGACAGTTATACTACTACTCAGAATATATCTATGGTCTTATGATAAGGCAAAGGGTCCTCTATTTTTATGAGTTGAAACCATCTTTGGTTTAACCTGAAACTGACATCCTCCCAGGCTTACTCTGAGTTTTAATCCTCTTCATGAAAATTCCTATTAAAAATTACCCAGTTAAGTTCTAAAAACTTGTGTGAAAATGTGTTCTTTTGAACTGCTTCTGTCCTTTATCTCATTTCTCCCTGCAGCTGTCAACCAGCATGGGAATATTTTAGGCTTCTTTGCCTTTTTTTCACCTAAAGTTTTAGTGGACTTTTTGAAAATTGTCTGTCATGAATCCCTCTCACATTCATTTCCTAGTCTTGTCAGTGCCACCAAACCATGCTAGCCATTGCTCAGCAGTCAAGCATATCAGGCAGCAGAAGAAGTGGGTCCATGCTAGGGGTCAATTAGTACATCCTTGGACCAGACCTATTTCATGTTGACTTATTTTCTAGAGATCATCATTCCTCATCATATCTCCCTGGTGCCAGTGAAGGCAAACCCATGACTCACTGTACAAGCTTTTGCACTTGAGATCTGCTGGCTAAGAAGATACAATAAGGGTTTAGATTCATCATTCTCAGTTGCATTCAGCTCCCTTGCAGTCATCTGTTCTCTGGCATCTTTGCATTTAAAGCTCCTTGTAAAATGAATTCTATACAGCTCTCTTCAGGCTTCATGTCCTCTGTATGTACATAATTTCATGATTCACCATTTGATACTGCCTAATCAGTTTGAATACTTTCCCTAGAGAAAATTATATTCTCCTCCTCTCAGCAATCTTTCTGTGAGGTAGGTCTAACACTCAGAACAAAATGTGGCTTTACAGAAGATCGCTGGCACATCAAGAGACATCTTGACTCTTAGGAGCCCTGGCATTAGCAGGCTCACAAATGAGACACCTTCCCGTTTCAATACTTGGCCTACCTGGGACCCCAATGGGGCCCAGTGGATGCAGGACCTATCTGCAGTGATGCAACGTTCTCCTAGCCTCCAACACTGCCCTGGGAATATTTAGCACTCCAGAACACCTCCCACACCAAGAGACAGCTTGACTCCCAAGAGGTCCATCACAACTAGGCTCACAGGCTCACACATCAATATCTCCAGACCCCCTCCTACACCCAGAGACTCAAGGTACATCATAGGTGGGCTCACGGGAGAGACACACCTCAGTCAGAGATCACAAGGCCAGTTAACACCATAGATAAGCAAATGACAAGAAGGAAGCTGAAGAACATAAGCAACAGTAACAAATGTCCATTGACACCAACAGAACCATGTTTGCCCACCACAACAAGCCCTGGAGACCCTAATACACCTTCAAAGCAAGATTCCAACCTAAAATCCCATCTCATGTAGATGGTAGAGGACCTTATGGAGGGCATAAATAAACGTTTTAAATAAATACAGGAGAACACAGGAAAACAGGTAGAAGCCCTTAAAGAAGAAATTGATAAATACCTTGAATAAATACAGAAAAACACAATCAAACAGGTGAAGATCTTGAACAAATCTATACAGGATACAAAAATGGAAATTGAAACAATAAAGAAATTACAAAGGGAGGCTTGTGAGGTGATGGAAATCCCAAGAAAGAGATTAAGAGTTACAGATGCAAGCAACACCAGCAAAATACAAGAGATAGAAGAGAGAAGCCCAGACATAGAGGAAACCATAGAAGATATTGACACAACAGTCAATCTGCAAAGTAGAAAAAGCTCTTAACTCAAAACATTCAAGAAATCCAAAACACAGTGGAAAGAACAAACCTAAGAATAGTAGAAATAAAAGAGAGTGAAGATGTCCATTTCAAACTGCCAGAAAACTCCTTCAACACAATCATAGAAGGAAAAACCATTAACCCAAAGAAGAGATCGCCATAAATGAAAAAGAAGCATACAGAACACAAAGTACATTGGAAAAGAAAATAAATTCCTCCCATCACATTATATGCAAAACAATAAATACACAGAACAAAGAAAGAATACTAAAAGTGGCAAGGAAAAAGGGCCAAGAAACATATTAAGGCAGACCTATCAGAATTACACTAGATTCCACAATGGAGACTCTGAAAGCAGGATTTGGACAGATAACATACAGATCTTAAGAGAACACAAATGCTAGCCAAAGCCACTATACCCTGTGAAACTCTCGAGTACTATAGGTGGAAAAACCTACATGTACCATGACAAAACCAAATTTACACAATATCACTCAGCTAGTCTAGCCCTATAGAGGATTCTAGAAAGAAAAAAATTAATACAAGGAGGAAAACTATACCCAAGAGAAACCAAAAAATTATTCAACTTACCTCAAACCCAAGAGAACCACACAAACATGCTAACACCTCAAACAACATAAATAAGAGGAGCCAACAATCATTCCCTTTTAATATCTCTCTGCATCAATGTACTCAGTTCCAAAATATAAAGTCATAAGCTAAGAGACTTAAAATGTAAATAAGACCCAGAATTTTGATTCATAGAAGAGACACATTTTGGTGACAAAGTATTTCCAAGTAAATGGTTCCAAGAAACAACCTAGAATCACCATTTAATTATTCAATAAAATAGACTTTCAACCAAAAGTTATCAAACAAGGTAAAGAAAGACACTTCATACTCATCAAAGAAAAACCCAACCAAAGGAATCTCTCAATTTTTAACATCTATTCCCTAATGAAAGGGAACTCACATTTGTAAAACAAACATTAGTAAAGCTCAAAACACATATTG